ACTCGGCTTCGGCTATTATTGTAGAGGGATTGTAATATTGAAATAAGCTTCTCGGGCACTCCCTTCAGGGAAAGGCAGCGCCAGAGATTAGAGCGGTCGACTGAGTCGAAAGCCGCTTTCAGCTCGAGGAAAATAAAAAGGGTGGGTCTACGAAAGGAGTGTCTATGTTCTAGAATTTGACGGAGTGTGAAGATGTAGTCAATACAGCCTCGACCAGGTCTGAAACCGGCCTGGTTCTCACGCGTACACCGTTCACGTGCGGCAGACAATTGACGGAGTATGATACCGGCGAGAAGTTTAGAGGCAATATTGATTAAACTTATTCCTCTTTGGTTTTCACAGGAGGATCTATCACCTTTCGCTCGTAGCAGAGCATGGTCCGTGTTTACGGGTGTTGACCAGTAGGAGCGGCAGTCTTCAATGGATCCTCTCCAACGGTGGCTGGTGGCAGTGTGGTCGATTTGAGTCCAGCGCTGTGAAGAAGTTGGCGGTTTCCATGTAAGGTGGTGCCGTTTTTTGTGCGACAAATTCGTGCTTGATAGAAACAGTACGTGGTCAGCACAAAGTTGGAGTAGGCGTTCTCCGTTGTCAGTCCGATTAGCTGAGATTGCATTTGAATCACCAATTAACCTTTCTGATTCGTCCAGGGATCTCACTTGAGCATTGAAGTCTCCAGCTATTACCATGATGTCCGTTGACCAAGCACTTTGGAGCAGTTGAGAGAGGTCCCTGTAGCAGTCATCCCTCATTTCTGGTGAACTGCAATCAATCGGTGCATGCACGGATACGACGAATAAGCATCGAAGCTTCGTTCGGTAGCTGTTGACCCGTATTGAACCATCCAGACATACAGCTCAAAGTCGGCTACTAAACGGGATCTCGCTGAGAAGTGAACGCTCGGTCTTGACACTTAGCGCAATCCCAACGCCAGCAACACCGCGAGCTTCGGATGCCGAATCGCCTGAAACATGGAGAGTGAAGCTTGAGGATGAGGCTGGACCTGGAGAACGGAGGGGGATGACTGAAGTAGGATCTTGTATGCGTGTTTCGGAGACAGCCTACATCTAAATGGAAGGTTTCAAGGGTTCTGGCTGAGGCGGCTTAATGACCGATTTCGTAGAGTGTATGGACATTCAGTGCGGCTGAGTGGGAAGGAGATTTTGGTTTCAAAACTCTGGTAGTCTCTGAGTGGTTGACCTTATTGATTGAGCGCTGAGTGATATGCGATGGGTCTCGTCAGCAGGAGGCACTTGGGAATATTCGGGATTGAGAAGAAGGACTAGACAGATGGG